TTATAATTGGAAAACCAGCCTTTCCTTTTTAACCTAAGAGGTCTCAAGATATCAGATCTTAAATCTATACCACTATTCTACACCAGAAAGCAACTTTAAGCATATTCTAGACCTTTATTGATTTTACAGAAAGTTTTGATTTCCTGCTTTTTTTTTTTTTTTCACGAGTAGATGCACGGATAGATTTGCTTTACTTCGGGGGTTTGAATTTCTAAGGTGTGAAAAGATTCTGAACTACTTAAAAGGAATGTCTCAAAACCACTTATATGCTTGTATTTTGAGGGAGGAGAGAAAAACTGTATAAAGGGTATGTTGCTGCCATGAAAACATGCTTCTGGCACTCTTGTTATGCTCTGTCTAATAAATGAATATGTGAACCCTGAAGCTGTCATGAGATAGCTGTGGCCTCATCCTTTCCTTGGTCTGTCTTCAGTTCTCTTTTTCTGCCAGTCTTCCTGACTTCACCTATCCAGGGGAGAGGTAGGATTTCACAATTCTCCTTTCTTTTTGCTGTCTGTCTCATAACTGTGCCAGCCCAGGAGTCTGAATGGATTTGCAACTTTTCTTTCAGGGAGTCTGTGAATACTCCACTTCATTAATAATAGAATGGTATTTAAATATTTAAGCTTAAATATGCAAACTTAAATATTTCAAATAAATGGATTTGAAAATGACAATCTATATGCATATCTGTCCTGCCTCAAGCTTTCCTATCCATTAGAAGCAGAGTAAACAAGCTTATTTTCTCTGTAAACTACAGCGATAGCTTGCATTCCCAGCCTGCTCAGTCATAAATCATGTCCTTTCCCAATCAGATCTCTTGGTCTTCCCTATGCTTTTTTCCCTATGCCTGCTTGGGATTTCAACATCTTAGTTGAGATGCATTTTTCAGAGTGGCTCTATCATCAGTAGATTCTCCCAGAACAATAAGATGGACATTAACATTTTGTAAAGTTCACTTTCTTTTGAGAGGCTGTCCCCTTGTCAAAGATTTGCTGCCTGTTCTGTTTTTCTCTAAAGTCTACTTTGTGAACTCTATTCAAGACCAATAGCCAAGGCAACATATGGTATTCATAAATTATTACAGAGCAGCTCTACTTTCATCACAGCAGTTATGTGACTTCCTGTGGATCCAACCTCCAAAGCACACTGTCTTATGTTTCATCATGCCTTTCCCACAGGAGAGAGCTTTGGTGTTCTGGTAACCTATATAACCTGTATTTATATGTATTAGTTATATTTTGACAATGTTTATACGGCAACACAGGCTTAGACATACAGAGTGCTGTGGGAAATGTCCTCCCTTGGAACAGTAAGGTACCAACACTTGTCCTTAGTATCAGCAAAGTGAATAGTCCTCATGATGACACAGTGCCAAACTTTAATTGATTTTTCCTGTTCTGCAAATTTATCATGCTTTCTGCCCTTCCAGAGGACTGAGTCACACGTGACATAAGAGTTACAGTCTATACTTGTGAGGAAAAAATTTACATGGCAATACCAGAGGCATTCTCCTCTCTGCACCAGTAAAGAGGTTTCCCAGCAACAGCAACACTGTAGAGGTACTATCAGATAAAACATAAAATCACAGCCCTGAGCACCTGCTATCATCAAGCATCCCCTAGCACTCAGCACAAGATTGAAGGTGTTAGTTCCATTTCCCTGACCAGATTCCCCTGTGATATTTTAAATCCCACCTGCAACTTCACTTTCTCTTAGATTTCTAGCTCTTGGTTTCCTGCATGCTGTTAAAATTTGCCAGTTTCCAGCTGGGGTTAAGGAAAAGGGGAATTGTGCAGGAGATGTTTATTCATCTGGATGAGTAAACAAAAGATACTTTTTGGAATGAAGTTATTATTTGCCTTGGAAATGGCAAATGGCTGTGATCAGCACCTCAATTATCTCCTATGCCTAATGCTGATGCTTTTTCAGTGACACGCTTCTTTTGTCCTGTTTTACAGTACAGAAAGAAAGGACAAACGATATGACTATTGTAATTATTATGTTTCGAAAGGAAGGTTTCCATTTCAGAGCACTGGCAGTTGCACCAAATAGCTTTGTGCCTACTGCCACATTTTCCTTCGTCTTTCTTAGCTCTGGGGTCTGCTCTGTGCCATGATTTAGCTGTTTTCTGACACCAGGGAGCTCAGTTTAGACTGGCAAGCCTCAGAAGCTAGATGAAAGTGAATCTCAAGCAAAGGGTTAAACTAAATCTCTATTGGTGTGAATACGAGAGAAAATTTCCCATCAAAATATGCATTAATACTCCTGTCATATATACTACATTTTATACATATTTTGGATGGTCTAACACATACTACATGAGCTTAGTCCAAAAGTCACCTCACTGTCTGAGTAACACATAGGTCCTATTTTAACACCTACAGAACTCTCAAGCATATTCATTTGTAGAAATAATGTCATATGAACTTTTCAGGTCAAAGAACTATCACTCAGGACAGATTTGTCAAGTATTTATTATGAATTGAAACATTTCTGATTAGGTGTGGGTGTTCTGTTGTAAGAGAAGTGTTAAATAATAGTGATTGTACATTTAGCAAGTGCAAATACTTGTATGTGCAAACCTAGGTTTTTGCATGCTCCAATAAGGTGATTTTCAAATTTTGCAGGCACGTTTATGGATCTCTGAAAAACTTTACATTTTCAGCAGGAGAAGAACTCTATTGCTGAGTTCTAAAATACACTCCTTTTAAATGTTTATTCACTTAAAAAATACAGTCAAATGATTTCAGATGTATAAAGCTTGTTAAATTAATGGAGTATAATAAAAAGTTAGTACATATAAAAGTTTATAAAAAGACATAGCAAAATAATCTTAGAACTAGACTATCATGTGTATGTTGTGCATCATCATGTTAAATATTTTTAAAAGGAGATTACATTGAAGCCAATTAAAAGAAACAAAGAAGGAGGAGAAACGGATGGATCAAATGCCTTTGTTTTTGAAATCCAAAGTTTTCTTAATATTGCTCCAAAAATGCATCTATAGAAAGAAATTAGGTAAGTAATTGCTTATCCCCTTGGAAAAAATCAACTCAATGGAAACATTCCCCGTTTGCTCAACATTTTCTTCAAAAATATTGAATGTGGTTGTGATTCTTTAAGAAAAATGTATAGTTTTGTCACTTAAACACAAGAAGTCCGAAGTATTCCATATACTGAAGAAGGAATTTTGCGGCGGAACTTTCTGACCACTTTATCTGTCTCTGACCAATATACATATCCCTGAGATATGTATATTGCTCTTTAAGGGCTTGCTCAACGCAAAACATCAGGCAAGGTTGCTGATGTATGAATGTCTGATGCTCACAAAGGACTGTGGAGAAATTATTTCCTTGACAGCTCTTTGAAAATGAGTGATGCAGATGTCCTTCACCTCTCGGTCAAGCCCCCACATGTTTCATATTGCGAATTTTTTAAGGCCAGGACTCAGTTTTGAGCACTGCAGATAAAAGTAAGTTTTCTACTCCTTGAACAGAAGCTCAGTATAGACAAAAGGTGGCGGGGATAGGGGCAGTTGCTTGCTGGGAGGGTGAGGAGAAGGGCCATATCAGCAGAAGTGTGCAATGCTGTCACCTAAAGCTGAGGTCATGGAGTGCAATAAGTGACATCTTACTGAGCATAAAAAAAGCTATGCCGTGCAAAATACAATTCTAATTAAGTACTCTTGCTGTTTCCAGTAAACTGCTTCAATAAAAATAATTCAGGCCTTTAGGAAAGTAAGCTTTTCAAACTGTTGTAAAATTACTACAATATATTTTACACCAAACATTTGCCAGATTTGATTTTTCTCAATTTAGGCTAATGTATGAGATACGGTAGAAATGTAGATAAGCAACAACAAAACCAAAAAAGAATTCAGGGTGGGAGCAGGGAATTTACAACTTCTCCAAATTAAAATATTTTAAATTTCTTAATAAAGATATACATAAAGCAACACATTTCTTGACTTAAACTGTGCTAAGCTTTTCTTCAAGGCTTCTGTGATTACACTCAGACAAACTTGTGAACCAGACTCTAAAGCCAATAGATGGGTTATACTGAGTGTATACTCTGTCTTTTGAGATAGCTAAGAAAGCAGTCGGGAAAAAATATCTTTTGCATGAATTCTATTAATCACTGTTAAGGGACAAAATATAATTAATTAGGGCATCATCTTTGAAGTTAGGTGTGCCAATAATTTTGCAGCCTGATTTTTCCTAGATGCAGAGCACCCATGAGTCAAGTTTAGACACAGAAGTCATTCACTATTGTTATTAACAATACCAAAAATAACACAACAAGAGGGCACAAACTGAGCCTTTGGTATTTGACAACGATTAAAATTCAAGAAAAAGAATTTTGAAATACCTTACTACCTATGATGAAACATACAGAATACTCAGAGAGAACAATGAAATAGTTAAAAATATGTTGCTCATTGCTGAACACTTATGCTACATTTGATCGTGAAATTGTTAGCTTTTTGGATATTAGGTGCAAAAAAGTGCAAAGAATATTTAGTTAACTGTTACAGTACCACATTACAAAAAGTATTTTCTAGGCCACAAAGGCCACTGCTAATATAATTTATATTAAGATAAATGTATACACAAAATAGTTTTTCAATCTCCACATATATGTATATATATATCTGTTTCTATATCAACCTTGCAGAATCATGTTGAAAATGAACTAGGCCACAGAATTTCATTATGATAACAATGATAGCAGGAAAAAACCTCACAGAGGAGAGCTTGTTCTCCTATTAAAAAAATTACTCACCCAGAGCAAATGAAGGAATGAAATTCTGCAAGGCCACTCTGTATTTATGGTGATGAAAATACAATCTTAAGCAGGGAGAATTAGTGTTCAGAATTACCAACCCTCTCTAGGAGAAACCATTTCTGCCTAGAAGCCATGAAAAGCAACCTGAAACAAACATTCTTAAACTTGGGCTGGAGCCTTTTCTTTTCTTCTGCTTTTTTCTTTTTTTTCTTTTTTTTTTTTTTTTGTAGTTAATTTGTAAAGTCTGTCTGAAAGATTGATTTTTATATTTATTTGCTTGTTTGCTGTGTTTGTAGTCACAGAAGGCAAGGTGTAAAACCTGCCTCCTTTTTTGACTTAGAAACATTTGCAATGTTAGGACCAGCCTTCCTAACTTTCCTGGAGCAGTTAAGACACTTCAAGGCGCGATTGACAGCCTTAGGACTGGATCTTCATAAGCATATTCTGTGTCAGCCAAGCTAAACCAAACCAAAATGGTTCTTCAGAATTTTGCCAAAACTACCTTTTCCCTTCGTATCTAAATTAATTCTCATAATTTCTTTCATTATCTTAAACCAATCCTCTGTATGGCACCTTTTTTTCTGTAAAAATGCTGTTTTGGGAAACACTGTCTCCTCAATTTTCTTTAAATATTGCAAAGATACAAAAAGTGCCACTACCTCAACTTATTTCTAGTTACAGTTCAGCTTTCAAAATCTCAGACCCAATTATGCAGTCTTTGCCATGCTCTTCACAGAAAGACGAAAAAAAGAAGAAAGAAAAAAGGAAATAACTATCTGATTTATGCAATTGAGGTAAACTGCAGTGTTTAAAAGAGATAAATTCACAAAATAATGTGTAGCTCTCTTCTAGTTTTTAAAGCATCCGACTACAGCCAACAGTTTGTTGCATTTGCTGTCACTGTGTATTCTAATAAATGAGTTTACTAGTTTATAAAATAGCTACATTTCAATTTCTCTCTCCATATACTGACAGAAAACATATCTCAAATTCATATTTAGTATATAATTCTAGAGGCATCCAGCGGGCGAACAGAAACTATTCCACGTGCACTATGCACACAGTCAAAATAACTTCAAAGTAATCTAAATCTGTCACATTAAAACATTGAATCTGAAAAGTGTTCTAGGTAACTGCAGTGTCTGTTCAATTTTCTGAACAGACAAAACACATTAAATCAATTCCTTTACTTCAGAGCATTCTCTCCTAGTTTACACTAGTTTGACTTGTGTAAACATCAAGCAAGGACTGCGGATGTCAGCAACAATTGGGCTGTTTTGAGGGGCTGGATGCGCCTCATCAGGAGACACCTACATCCTTGTGGAGCTGCATCCACCTCCACACACCTCACTGCAGAGACATTAGCTTTCCACAGCGACACCCGTACACGGACTGTCAGTGCCACGCAGAGACACCCCAGACACCTCTTCGGTAGCCCCTGGGCAGCTGAAGCAAACCATCTTCTGAGGGCAGCCACCTGCCTGGGGGCACCTGCCTGGCTGCTTTGCTGGACAGGATAACAGGGGCAGCTGGCATTGTGATTGCTGGAAGATTATAACTGCATAGATCCAGTTCTGGTACCTGTTCCATAAGGGTTGAACTAAAACCCAGCAAAGCCAGTAGGTCCTTGTCATTGGCTTTGGTGGACTTTTGATCAGCCCTTTCTCCCTGCCCGAGGAATGAGCTGATTTTTCACTCAAAACATGACAACAGTTGTTTTTTTCATGCAACATTCAGTTTGGAATGGTATCTTGCAAAGTCTCTCAGGATTTAGTGCAATTTAGAAGAAATTTACTACATGATATATATATATATTTACTATTTGCTCTCCCTCAAAAGAATTAGGCGTTACAAGCTGCAGTAGTTTTGAATTGCTTAAGGGATTTTTTTTTTCCTCTGATTTCTTTGTCTATGCAAAGATACAGGTCATATCAAAACACTGCTTGGCTATGACACTGGATACATGCCAGCGACAAAATAGGTGAATGAATTTGCACAAGGAAGGGTTATATTTTACTCGAGTCAGCTTCATTCATACATTAAGAAATTATTATAAACTGTATAATAAGACTTAGAATAGGAAAAATGTATCTTAATAAAAAAATATGGATACAGTTCATCTGTGGAAGCCGAACCTTCTGTTTATGTAGATGAGAGGGAGCTTTGGACACTGAACATGATGAATCCACTCTTGTTCCTTAGGGTGTAAGTGGAGGTTTTGGTGATGAACAGGATCCTTGGCTATCAAAACTGGTTGCTCGGCCAGGTAGCTGCAAGAAAAGTGTTATTTTTACAAATGTCATCAGATCTGGCAGTGCACCACACTCATTTCAGAGGATAAGAGACTCTCTCAAAAAAGAACTCAAATCCCACCCAGACCCTTTCTAGCCTCTGGGTCAAAGTCTGTGGCATCAAAGTCTCCAGCAGAACTAAAAATGGAAAGAAGATTTCTGAAGTGACCTCCTAAAAATGCCTCTGACTTGTTTCACACAAGTGGGTTTATTTCACCAGTCAGGGGTGGTACCTCTGTCTCCAAACCTACATAAACCAGAGAGAGTTATAAACCTCTAAAACCTTCTCTGCTGCCTTGACTGTTTCTCCTTGCCCCCACACTCTTCTTTAGGTGTTTTACTGAAGCCTTCATTTTAGGCTTTTGCTTCCTGTCACCAGACATGTTGTGCAGCCATGTGCTACAGAGTGGGGAAAACAAATGGCCTGTGATGCCTCAGACAGCTACTCATTTTTCAACAAAGATTGCTTTTGGGATGAGCTAAACAGTGTGTCCTTTGTGTCCCAAAACAAGGCCTGCTGCTTCTTAAGACTTCCACATGTGTCTTTCTGAATCCAAAGCTATGAGCATTTTGTATACAAAACACCAGCAATATGTGGCCTGAAGGCTGAAGCAGGAGTCCAAGTCCAGGGACATAGGGATATAATGACCCATGCATTTGAAGAAGCTTCCAATAAGTGTCTTTTGAACAGCTGTGGAAGGAGCTGCTGGTATGTTGCTTGAATTTAGCCTAATTCACTGGCCAATTTCAGATTGGTGTTTTAGCAACAACTGTTCATGCTAAAGGTTTTTTAATAGGACATGATACCTTCTGAAATTCTTGCCAATGATCTGTAAGTAGATGTAAGTTCCTTACCATAAACTCTAGAAATTTTAAATGTCTTAATGTAATTTTGCTGTGCTGCTAGAGCATTAGGGAAACTTTTGTAGTGGTCCCTTTAAGTAATCAATAAACCCATGCAACTAGATTTAGGTTGTGTTAAGGATCTTGTAGCTGATATTTGGATGCTGCACTGATTTTGTTATTCTCAGAAGCACATAAGTGTGAGAGGCAAAACCATTCAATATCCTGAGAATGAGAAAATTTTCTACTTCTTACCTCCACTAGTGGATGCCAGTGAGTTATTGGTTTACGTGGGTAAGCCAACATTTCATTCCAATGATCTCTTCCAAGCCCTTCAGCATCAATGCCTGTCCGACATACCCCAATGACCTCATTGTGCCCTACTCTGAGAATTGTAGAGAGACAGAATTTGTTTTTAATAAAAATAGTTTTAATAACATCTGATGTACAATTCTGTTTACTGGTTTAGTGTGGCACAGAGTACATGACCAAAGTTTTCACATCATTTATTACAGATATTAGTTTTAATGGTAGTATAGTAATATTAAGTTCTGTATTGGTAACATCAAAAACCTCCAGCCACTATCAGAGTGCTTCTAGCAGCTATAAAAATAAAAATGAAGACATAACCTTTGCCATTAAAAGGTTACAACCCAAAGGACACAAGGACAGAAAAAGATCGTAATACACAAAATTATCTAGAAAGAAAACATGATTGAATTTTGTGGGAGAGGAAGGTAAAAATGATGGGGTATACATTTCATGCTGCAAATCCTTCGGACATCATTTCGTAAAATATTTTGCAGTTCTAGCTGTTGTGATCTTTGGAAGTTTGGTCAAAAATGTAAAAGGTAAGCATCAAAGCTGTAACAGGCTATACCTTAATACTTCATACTCCTAGCAGTGCCATAGACTTGCTAAGGGACTCCAGAAAGTAATTTTCCGTACCTTGACTGTATGTACCTTACAATAATGTTTTCTAATTTCCTCTTAGCAAATGCTGAGAAAGGAGCAGCTGAGGAGGACTGAAAGTGTGCAAGTTACTGTGCAACTAAGGGCACCACAGTGCCTCTTTCACATCTGACAGAGAAAGTCTTACTGACAGAAATTGGAGGACAACCAGAAATCTGATGGCAAGGAAAAACAGTCTGAAGGGTGATGTTACTAAATTGGACTTTTAGCATTTATTTACCCTGCAATCTCAAGAGCTCATTACTAATAGCACTTGAATGAAGTAGACTTGGCTCAGGCAGGATTCTGTCAGTCACTGTCTAGTTCAACCTGCAGTCCTTGACTCACTCTAAGCAGGAGTCTCTTCCTGTCAAGTCTTGGGGGAGGACACAGATAATTGAGGCTTAGATGTGTTGTCAGTGAGGGCTGAACCCAAAGGTTACATATTCAAAGGTTACTTTATTGAATCAACTAAAGAATTAATTATTACTTAATTCAATGTGGCAATTAGCATCTAATTCTTTTTTAGTCATTCAAATTTTCTTTGGTTTCAAATACCTGCCATTTAAATAGAAATAAGAGGTGTGAGGGATTTTTTTAAACTGGAAGATGTACCTGATTTATAAAGCTTTTACATAGTCCAGCCACCAGATGTGTACAGGAATGTTTGCCAAGGCTAGTGGTCCACAGGAAGATTGAGCCATACTTCTCCCTCATCACAGTTATTTATGGCACAGATAAAAGGCTAAAAGGTGTGAAAGCTTTAAACCTCTCCAGGAAAAAAAGCCCAGAGCTTTATCTTTTGTGCCACTGAAGCTGCTTACAAGTTCAGGGGGGCAGAAAGTAGTGACTTGCAATGATCAGGTGTCGTCTCGCTGATGATTAACAGTCAGAAGGCAAACTGCGCTTACCGATCATAATCCATCACTGCAATGGAGAGGCTGACCTGGTCCACATTCTCTGGAGGGATATCAAAGATGATGGCCTCGTTATAAACAGGATTGAGGGTGTTCTTCTTTGTGGTGGTTTTCCGTTTTTTCAGCCTTCGTCCCTCACACATCAGTGACACTTTGACATAGGGATCTGAGTAACAGATAATCAGTTGCATGCATTTGGACTCAAAGTCATTCAAACGTGTAGCATAAGGACAATATTTGTTTTAGGAATGTGATATTGATAAGACAGAAAATTTCAAAGGTTTTAGTGACCCTGGGAAGCATTGCTTTCCACATGCTGTAAATGCAAAGGAAAGGTATGGGCATTCTGAACAGACAGAGTGACTGCCAGACCAAGATAGCCAGTGGATCTAAACAGGGTCTATATCCATTCTCCTGATATTTCCATTCCACAGTCATGTTAAACACAGAAAACTGAAGGAGTTCTTATTCATCCCCTTCTTGAAGAAACTCTGCCTTGTAATTTAAAAAAAGAAGTAGATTCACCTGATGCTCCAGTTATATCCATTGCTTTGAGATTCCTACATTTGATGACTGTCAATGTCATTCTCCCAGCAGTAGGCAAATAACAAAGGGAAAACATGATCTCACCCAAATCTATGCTTTCCTGAAAAAGAAAAGCAATGATTAAAAACCTGATCATACTGCCAGCAATTCAGTACAGATCATGCAAAACTTTAGAATTTCTTTTTTAACATGGAGGTAGGCTTCTTTTACAATATACAATGTGATTTTCAAAAATTATTTCTATAAAGTACAGAAAGAGTAACAGCAGGGTAATATTTTAGGGACAGGATCTACAATTAATAAACTGAGAAATTAAAACAAAAGCAGAACCAAAACTTTCTGTGTTTCTGATATTTTTGTGTTGAATTTACACAAATGAAAAGGTGCTGATGTAGAATGTCAAGTTCTGCTCTTGAAAAAACTCATACTCCATCAACAACACTGGAATTTATGTAGGAGATTTATTTCTGGACACCTGTATGTGAATGAAAAGCTAATCCTGTCAAAGAAGAACTTACTTGTAAAAGTTGCTGTCTTTACTGATTTTAATGTGCTTTGGGGGGTTGCTCTGTTTTAGAAGAAAAGCAGAATAAAGGAATAGCATCTACAGCTTTCCTGGCTCAACAACAACTTTTTGGAGGATAATACATTCAGAAAGATGGATAAGGCCCACAGTGATCTTAATAATCCTCACAAAGGGACAGTTGCTATACTGAAACAATGTGCTCTGAATTGATGCAATATGATATTGCTATACAGTTTTACAACACTTGAGAAATGTAACCTAAGGAAGAGAGTTTCCATCAGTTCTTATTCTTTTCTTTTCTCAGTTATATAATTATCCTAATACTGTAAAAGTTTATGCTTTGAAATGTTAGTTATGTTCTAAATTGTTCCTGTTCTAAATTTTAACACCCCCTTCCAACCCCTCCACCCAAAAAAAACAAAAACAAGAAAGAAAATTGCATATTAAGAACTCATGATATGAGTTTGTAAGGAATATGTAAGGAAGCTGCTTCTGTAAGGCAGCCACTCTCAAGCATGCTCATATGATCTCAAAGGATCTTTTTTTTGACTACTACTAAAAAGCTTATTTTTAACAGCTCAGCTTCAATATTTTATCTGTCAAAGCTACAGTTACCCTGAGAGTACAGATTCTCTTGAGAGCTCCTGGATTTATCCTACAGCTGTTCTGGCTTCAGAAGGCAAGCATGATATATTTTTAAATGGAACATATTAAAATAATGATTGCTGTATAGATGACAAATACATTGTTTATAGTTATGAGACAAGACTGGGCTTCTTGCTCACATTCTTCAGCTGCTTATGTGAAGAGTTTTATTGACTTCCTTTGGGTTAATACTCTGTCTAAATTGAAATAGGCCCTTCACTTGCTTCATCTTTCTTGAGTAAAGACAGACAATCACATGCTTCAGGGTTTGGGGTTTTTTTTTTTTTTTTTTTTTTTTTTTTTTTTTCCCCTGCATTGCAGACTTTAGATTGAAGAATGCACTTTTGGAATAGCTTTAAATTCTCTGCTGTGCTGGTAATAAAATATTGACTTTTGTGTAGGTTGGTCAATTCACATGTTCAGTCGTTTTGCTGAGATTCTTTTCTGAAGATTAACAGATTGATAAGCATGTGAACATGCACTATGGGCAAATTTCATGCTTGTCAGTATTTCAGATTTCTCATCATTTCAAAATGATTTAACTATTTCAGTCCACGTAGCACAAATACAGCTATCTGACACCTCCTTGGGCCAACTCCTTTCTTTGACATGAAGAGCATAAAATTTTGTGGCACAGGGCAAATTACCAAATTCACTTTTCTGTTTCAGAAAATAAAAATAAAACATGAACAAATTAAGTATAATTATTTTCACTCATTTGTTAATGTGGCAAGTGCTCTCTTATATTTTACAGTTTTTGTCATATCTGAAAACTGCTTAAAGCACAGCTTCTGTTACTAACATTACTTTCTGAATTCAGAGTCTGATTGTTGTTCTTCATATCCATATGTCAAACAGATCTCACATCTTTTGTTTGAAAAGAAAAGTTCCCCCACTTTCAGTGCTTTGAAGTTTAAGGTCTATGTTGAGAGAGGAGATGAAGATAGGTTGGATATGAAACAACATGGGCAGCTCATAAAAAAGCCCAATTTTTCCCTCTTCAGAGAGATGAACAGAGAAAAATTCACTTTTGAAGACAGGAACATGAACTTGAGTATTCTATTATTTATAGAAGAGAAATTGGATAGACACTTGAAGGTTTGGGTGAACTCAACTGATAAAGAAGAATACTGACAGGGCTATGTGGTATGACTTAAATACTTTAAAAGAGGCATTGCTCAAAATGCTTGCAAAACTCCATGTGGTGGTTACTCTACAGTACTTTTTGAAGAGCAGAGAAAACCATCAGTGCTTAATAAAATGGCAACCATATGAGTCTCACGCCCAGTCCTTTTCCTTTCCTTTCTGAACGGTATGCACTGAAGGTATATTGAAAAAGAGCTTGTAAAATGTCCTGCAATCACACACAGTGCTTTTAACAATTCAATGAATAAGGAAGCTGCCTTAATGCAAAAATAAATGCTCAGAAAACCAGTGAAGGGGATCTTTGCACTCCACACAGTAGACTGTCCGAAAGGCAGATTTACTGAAGTTTCTAAAGCTCTGTAACTTGTGTACTGACTACTCAGTTTGAAGTGGTAAGGGATGGTTTTAGGATTGGGAAAAGGCTCCCTATCACTCACTGTTTACGCAGGAATTTTCTGACATCTATGCTCTACACCTGGAAAAAATGTGGCTTGTGCTTCCCTGAAAGGTCTGCCTTTCTTATCATGGAACAACACTTATGTTTCTATAGATAAATTCTGCAGCAGACTAGAATAGATAATATTTCATGTTAATACTTGTCAATATCAAAGACATTTATGAGTCAGACATTGTAAAATCAAAGGGCTAGAAACAAAATGAGTAGTTACTCTGCACTAGTCCATAAACTACACCTAATTCTCCTCCTTGTGGGGAGAACTGGCTGTCATAAATTGCTACTACAGACTAGGAGTTCCCATGGTCCCCAGATTGAGTTAAAATACAACTTCTTTCAGAATCTTTTAAACAACCAGATGATTTTATCTTTTTAATTTAATTTCATACTATTTGTGGCATCTGTTGTTTGCTGACAGTTTTGTAGAATGTGTCTTTTTGATTAGTAAGGAATAGAAAGTCCTAGGACTTTTACTCAGTTTCTACTTTGAGTATCTTCCAAGAATAGTGGTCTTTCTTCATACATGAGTGTGAAGCTAACTGTATTTTGTTAGGACCTCTATAAACCAACTGGAGATTAAGAAATTAAAAAGAATCATTAAAATAAATATGCTTTGAAAATCAATCAGAGTGAAGCACAAGACTTACGAACTTTTAAATGCTCTTTTGAAGATTTAAGATGAAAATTATCTATATATATATATATGATAGCATCTGAAACTGGGTATTTGATAAAATGTCTGGGATATCACCATTTTCCCCCCCACATTTTATTAACTTGAGCACTAGAGGTTCATGAATTAGGAGCTGAAAACACAGATTCAGATCTAGACAACAAACAACATCAGGCTTTGAGTTTCTTTAAACTTCTCATGACAGTCTTTGTCTATCACATTGATTATCATGAGTAATATTTTTAAATTCCCAGGATCCTTAAGCATTATTGATTTTAGTTGAGATTTAAAAATAGAATGCAAATTGCTTTGGAATCTCAATGGCCTAGAAAATTCATATTTTTATCACTTTGTAATACACTAGCTAATCAAGTTCACACAAGTAATCTGACAGGAACCCTTCAACATAAGCAAATCTGAGGCAGCTAAGGCACAGACTGCCCTCAACAATCATGTCTGCATTAAAGTTCACCTCAAACAAAACACAACTCAGAAGGCACAATCCCGAACCCCGTGGTTGCCATTCATGCAAATTTTTAACTATGCCTCAGATTGTCTTACACGTATCCTATATTTACTGAGAATTGCACATTACTTACATTACTCCCATGAAATTTTATCTCTTTCCTAGACCTATTTTGAGCATTTCTTTTTTTTTTCCTTGAACTAAACTTAGATTTCAATTAATAACTAGCTTTACAGATGTTTGTAATGAATGCTCCCCACTGACTTCCAGTAACAGGTACAGAGAAACCACCATTAAGCACAGTTGCACTAATGCAAATGGAAGCATTTCTTGGTACTTTATATCTCTTCATTTATTTCCCTTTTGTGTTCACAAGTCATCACACAGTACTAAGGAACTGGAACAGTGGCAAACACTACACCATCTTCAGTTATTTTTATAGCTATGATTTTATTCTATCCAATACTTTTTCTAGTATGGTGATGGTAGAACAAAAATAAAATGAAGACAATGATCTCATGTGTGCATGTCAGTTATTCAGATGAACTTCATTTTTTTTTATCTACAGAATATGGATTTTTTTAAACAGCATAATTCTAACCTCACACAAACAACCATGTGAATGGATGTGCTAATAACTTTTTCCATTAATTCCATTAGGAGAGATCCATTAGGATATGTCTGCATTCCCTGCTTTATGGGCTCTTGGGAAATCAGTCCAGAAGTTGGCAAAGTCAGATGAAAAAAGTTCCTTATTCTATTATATTTGTTATCATACCCAATGGACACCAGTGCCCTCATTTTCACACTTATTCTCGTAGAATTAGCAGGATTTCTCCTGAGGCTCATGAGTGGTCCCCACTCTTAACACAGAAAAATAGTGGAAAGGTCTGAGGAGAAGTTTGGAGAACTTGTAGGGGAGCATCAATTAAACTGATCGAGTTCTTAGAGTTGTTGTTGCTAAAAAAAGCTTTACTGTTACTTACTTCAATTACTTTTCCCAGTTGTTTCCACTAAATTCAATAGGAGAGACAACTTTTAATCAGCAACCTCCACAAATTCAGTGGGGAAGTTAGGTATAGGTCCTTCCATGTTCAGGGTAGTTTCTACTCACATATCAACACCCATAATCCTGAACTGAACAGGAGAAAATATTTACTGACTATACTGTCGAAGCAAGAACTTCTGTA